GGGGGGGGGGGGGGGGATGGGGGGATTGGCATTTTACTTTAACGTTGCCATCGAGGCTTAAACTTTGATTTAAAAGCATAAAATCTGTGATTTGCTAAATTCCTAGACAGTTTTTTAACATTTGCATTTCTCATTTAGAGACACAGAGTAGTGCAAACATTATTTCTCCTAACACATTGTGTTTTTGATAAATGTCCGACACCTCAGTGATCAAAAACCCATTTATAGATTATAAAAAAGCAGGAGCCAAGTCTCCTCCTGCATGACTACACATTTGTTTTTATTTATTTTGAAAATCGCAGGCACCACAGTCTGATTAGGATTTCCCCCACAGCCTCGGCTCAGCCTTAACGAGGATGCAGGCGAGTGACGGGGGTAACAATAGGGGATCGATAGAGGTTGGAGGAGTAACCTTTGTGTTTTATCAGCCTGATGTCGAGCCATGCGTAAGCTGCAGCACAGAGATAGAAGCGGGTAGTTGTCAGATCGTGAGTTAAGTGGAGGTATGGATCAGAGATGGAGGAAAAGAGACACCCTGCGGCAAATGAATCATGCCGGATCAATGGAGCTTAGACTGGTTTAAAAACAGAGTTGTCGCCGCAGTGTGCTCATTAAGCATGGATCAGGCTTTAATCACCCAACATTTAGCCATCATGTTTTCACCGTCGTCCTCCTTCTGCGGTATCTTAACTGTGCATGTCTTTTTTTTTTTTTTCAAACCAACCCAATTTCACCCTTGTTCTGTGAAAGGCCGAGAGGACAGACAGCTCAGGAAAATACATGTAAATAAAACGGGAGCGTGTCGTTCTCGGAGGCCTTTCGTCAAAATGTCATTACCATCCTGCGGATCTATAATATATAAAAGGTCACAACTTCAGTTTATGGTTCTAGACAACTAACAAAGGCCTTGGATTCCTTGAAGGAACGCTTATCACCCACTTTCCTGTCTGAGTTTTAGACTAAAATCATCTTATGTTGAGAAGAAGAAAAAACACAAAGCTGTAAAGATTTTAGTCAAACCATAAAAATAACAGTTTGGACCATTTCATGTGAAGTAGGATGTACCATTCAGACTATGTGATGAGGGTGACTCTCAACTACTACCACATCAAACTGTACCTTAAAGCCTGTAAAATAACAGTTATATGGTCAGTGGGCTGGTACCGCCATCTTGAATAGCATTAAATAAAATAAAAAAATCACAATTTACAGATGCACATTCAATGAATATTTCTTGAAAGTTTATTTAAAATCCATCCAGTGGTTCATGAGGTGTTTAGGAAAAGGTACAGACAAATATATAATAAAACTTTAAATATGTATACCTAGTTAAAGGCAATTTTTAAAAATTTACCATTAAATCCTGACAGTTGAAAGTCAAAGTGAGCCTCTCGGAGCCACATCATGTTTTATTACTGTATAAAAACTGGAGGTTCTGTCTGACGGAGCTTGGAGACTGGTGCAGGTATCAGGGGGTCTGGTTCTCCACGGCGGCGGGTAATGAGTGGAAAGATGGGCGAGCCCACGCCAACATTGAGAAAGTGCTGCCTGTTTATCGGTGCTTAATGAAAAACAATTTGTCTAAATCCCCACCGTGGAGAGTTGCCGGTTAAAGCTCGGGGAGGTGGGCGGGGCTTCTGTCAGTGACAAATCCCCTGCTGTTTTTCCAATTCGATTGGAACTGATGAAAGAAAGAACAAATGGTGATCCACCACAGAGTCACGGAGGGGACATGGCTGCATGAAAATACCGAGGCTCGGACATTTGTTACCGTCATTTTGGTTTTCGTGCTCGGGTGAAGAAATCAGAAGCTACAACATGACACGTCTCCAAAAAAAACACTTTACCTTAAATAATGTTGATCCACACCAGCAGCTGCAGACAACACCAGGTCACCAAACGATAAAAAAAAACAAAAAAAAACTTCTGGACGGAGAGACAGATGTTTGAATCTGTGCAGCATCACTTCACAATGTGTCAAACTGCAAAGTGCACAAGAATTTACAACAAAGGCTTAAAAATCATCACCCGCAGGGTTTTATACAAACATTTACACAATCTGTTAGCACAGTATGTGTCCGACGTGACTTCAGCTACTACAACACCAAGCTTTAGCTCAATATCTGCAAAAAAAAGTCTTAGTTTTTTTGTATGCCATGTTTAGCTGTGGCAGCCATCTTGAATTAAGTTCTTAAAGGCAATCAGATGTAGAGGTTCATCCACTGTTTCATTAAAACACTTCTATTCGAATCTGTACAGTGATTCATGAGGTATATATTTTGCTAACAGACAGACAATTAACACACAGGCGATGAATGAATGTTTTTACAAAAGATTCATTAGTGGTTTTTGTCTAAAGCTACATAAATTGCATTTCCTGCAAAAATGCAGTGTGAATGCTTATTGCAGATGAACTTCCTAAGAAACATCTGAAAATAGCTAAAACAACATGATGCAATGTAGCTGAAATGGAAGAACAAGCCTAAATTAGCAGATGAAAGCAGAAATAATACATATTTGCTGAAATAGGTTTAAATAAGAAGAGATCAGCACAAAATTTGGAAATTAGCTAAAAAAGGATGAAAATAACAACAACAAAAAAGGCTGAAAAGTATAGCTGAAAGAAGCTTAAACTACCAGAAGGAAGTGGAAAGAGCTGAAATGATCTCAAAAATATGGAATTAGCTGTAAAGGATAAAATTGGCATAAAACAGCTAAATAGTGGCTGAAATATCAGAAAAAGCTAAAACTAGCATAATTAAGCTGAAAGGAGTATAATAAACTGAAATGATCAAAAAGAAGTTAATTAGGCTGAAAGTAGCAGAAATTACCATGGAAAACTTAGATTTATGTGAAAACAGCCGAAATATGCTGGAAAATGTAAAAAAAAAAAAAGAAAAAAAAGGTACACTTAGCTGATCGGATGGAAAAAAGCTTAAATTAGCAGAATAAAGCAGAAAGAACATGTTTGCCAAATTAGGCTGAAAGAAGCAGAAAGTTATTTAAAAAAGTGGAAATTATCTGAAAAAAGCTGAAATTAGGAGGAAAAAAACAGCTGAAAAGTAGCAAAAAAAGCAGAAAAAAGTTATAATAGATTACCAGAAGTAAGTGGAGAGTGCACATTTTTGCTGAATTAGGCAGGAAAAAAATTTAAATGAGTGCAAAAAATGTGGAATTAGCTGAAAAAGCTAAAATTAGCATAAACCAGCTAAATAATGGCTGAAATAGCAGAAAAAGCTGAAACTTGCAGAAATAAGCTGAAAGGAGCATTACAAGCTGAAAAGAAGTTAGAAGAAGCACACAAAAGTTGTAGTTAACAGAAAGAATATGAAAGGAGCACAAAACAGCTGAAATTAGCTGAAAGTTTACTGGACATAAGTTTAAATTTGCAGAAGGAAGCTGAAAGAAGCCGAAGCAGAACAAAATGTGAAAGGAGCAGTAAAAGGTTGTAAACATCTCAAAAGTTATAAAGAATGTAAAATGAGGAAGAAAAGACTAAATATTTCAAAAAGCTAAAGTTGCACCAATGCCAAAAGTCATAGCAGGATTGTCCTAAAAGAGCTGAATGTTTTGATTCATGATTTGTTGAAATGGCACAAAAAAAGTTGAACAAGAAAGATGCTGAAAAATGTACAGAAGAAAAATGGATCACAATAGTGTGAATGCTTCGTAAACATTCACACAATGATGTAATGATGTTGAATTTTGTGGGAGTCAATAGCATAGATACTTAAAGAGAAGAAACCCCCCCCCCCCAAAAAAAAAAAAACAAACGCATAAAACAAATATATTTTGAGCAGCTTTTCTTTATTAAAGGCAAACCTTCCTGTGACCGTTCGATCTGCTTACACAAAGACTTCAAATGTCATTAACTGAAAAATACGTTTCTGGTCCGACTTCAGCTGCTTCGGCAGAAACAGTCGAGCATGAAATTACAGCTTTGAACCCTGCAGAGCTGCAAAATTTGAGATTAAGATTTGCATTGGAACTGGAAATGCTAACCGATAACTTTACGGTGCAAACTACAAAAAACAAGAACACGTCGTGTGTTTAGACTCGTGCACAACTTTTAATCCAACTAGCTGCTGAAACGAATCAGGATGAGTGTATTCAAGATGTTTAAATTTATCTCTCTTTGTTTGGATGTGCGTTTGGACAGAATTGATGAGTTTTCACCTCGGCGTGCACGGACGTGTGCACGGACGTGTCCACAGAGCTTCAGCAGAAGCCGTTTGCCAAATGTGAACCCAATTTGTGCCAAACTGCTGAGCCTTTTGGCACCTACGTGGCTCCTGCCTCTAACATCTTATTTCTGTCTCCTCTCATCTCCTTTTCACTCCACCTCCTCCGACCCGTCCTCCTCTCCTTCCCCCCTGTCCTCCCCCTCTTCAGATCATGGTGCTGACAGATCCGGAGTTTGAGAGCAGCGTGCTCATCAGCACAGACGAGGGAGCCAGCTACCAGAAGTTCCGCCTGTCTTTCTTTGTCCTGAGCCTGTTGTTCCACCCCACCCAGGAGGACTGGGCCTTGGCCTACAGTCACGACCAGAAGGTGGGACTGGGCTTCACATCTGCTCGTTGTTTCATCTTGTTTCACTCCGGTTCCCCCATGTAGCACAAATATACAACAACAGCTTTTCTAGGATCCTTCGCAGCTAAGACTCCACTTTGGAAAGTTCTTTAGAAAACATTTGTTTTTCTTCCCAGACACTCGGTTTGTGTGGCTGGATGGAACAAATGCAGCAGAAAATCTCAGTTTTTTTTTTTAACTATGCTATGTAATGTGGGCGGTACGAAAAAAAAACATTATGAGGAAAAAAGTACTACAATTACTAATCGTATTATGAGGATAAAGTCGTACGAGAATAAAGTTGTAGTATTCCGATAATAAACGTAATATTCCCAGAATAAATTTTTGACATTCCCAGAATAAACTCATAATATTCCCAGAAGTCTTAATATTCCCAGAATAAAGTTGTACTATTCCCAGAATAAAGTCGTATTATTCCCAGAATAAAGTCATAACATTCCCAGAATAAAGTAGTAACATTCACAGAATAAACTCGTAATATTCCCAGAATAAAGTCGTAACATTCCCAGAATAAAGTTGTAACATTCCCAGAATAAAGTCGTATTATTCCCAGAATAAAGTCGTATTATT